ATGTGACTTCATTGTGAGAGTGAGCGAAATCTTTGATATATGTGAGGTCCTTAAATTATATTTGATCACGAGATATGATATGCGGATTCAACTCACTCTCCTTGATTTTATTGTGAGGGCACGTGGTTTCACAAGGGATAGGTTACATTATTAGACTTCTATATGATGTGGGGTATTCAAGCATCAGTGCATTGTGACATTGAGTCGGGTTATGAGGCTAGGATTGCTAAGAGCATGTTGCTTTTGTTTATAATATTTTTGAAATATGGCATAAGTTAAAGGGAAGTGTGTGTTGAATGCCAGTGCTAGAGTTCAATTGTTGCAATCAACCATGCCTGTGACCATGGTGTGCTTTGAGTGATACGAACTTAATTTTGTTTCGTCTACTATAGTGATGGTTTGTTGAAGGACGAACAAAGGTTTAAGTGTGGGGTGGTGATATTGGGAATATTCTTATATGTTTTAATGTTACTTTACCCATGTTTTAACTGCTTTTTGGTGCTATTTGATGTTGAAAATGCCCAACATGTGATAATTATTTATTTTATGACTAATTAAGTTGTGTGATGAGTGGATATATCGCATCCAACCTTGGGAAAATGCTATTTAGAGCACCTTTAGCAGTGAATTCGGAGAAAGTATCCACCTTAGCATCGGCACTTGGGCACAACAACGATGAGGGAACAGAGGGGGGACGTGAAGCATCCAGCTCAGCATCCGATGCTGAGTAGTTCAAGTTGAGGGGCACGCGAAACATCCACCCCAGCATCAATCCGTGAAGTTCATTTGGAAAAGGTAAAGGGAAACTTTGGCCTTCGACTTTTGTACGCAATATATAAGTCAAAAATGCCTCTTTTAGGGCATCGAACATACTTTTTGGAGGGGATTCGGCCTAAGGAGAAAAAGGAGAAGCCGCGGAGGTCGTATTTCATCTTCTTCCGCCAAACTTAGTATTTTTTATGTTTCTTTGTATGATTTGTTGTTTGGCTACCATGTCTATGTGGAGCTAAACGCCGTTCTAGGGTTGTGGTTCTTTCATGACTATTGTTATCCAGATATTGATTTTGCTTTCTTACTTTATCATATTGGTTTATTTATCTAATAATGGGCCTAACTATTTGATTGCTTGATCACCAGTTAAATACTATCTACGAATCTAGAGTTGAACTCGAAAGTGGAAATTCTAGATTGCATATGGGATTGAGTAGAGAATGTTCTTGAACCTGGGCATCGGGGAACGGATTGGTGGTTAGGATAGACATATACCTAATTGCCTTGGTTGGTTGATGTAAATGAATTATAAATGCGTTCTTGCTAGTTCTAACTCCATAGACATATAGTTAGGTTAGCTTGAATAGGAAAGTAAGAACTCGACAGATTCTTATGGCATTTGGAGGTGCAATTGGAGGTGGTCTCACACTTGATAATCCTTGGTTGTAGACTGGTCTAGCATAATCACCAAGTGATCTCCCAGGCCCGGGAGGTATATTTTAAAACTGGCCTGCCACTAAGGGCTGATTTTGAGCAATTCTTTGTGCCCTTTCTTCTTCATAGATTATCTGTGCATCTCTAATAGTTGCTTCCTCAGCATCTCGCGCGGCTTTTTCTTGTTGTTGGGCTGCCTATCTCACAGCCAGATCTACATTATCATCACCGTCTCCAGCCATAATTTCTTTGGTTGAGGATTTCCCTGTCAAACTATGCATTCTTGCATACCTTTTTTTTTGTACATTCCATAATTGTTTTTGCCAATCCCCAGCACCGGCGCCAAAATTTGACGAGCGCAAAACACCATTTAAATTATGCTCGATAATAAAATATAGTATAGTATAAGATCGTATCCAGAGAGATTGGAGTTAAACAGTATTCTCGTAGTTTCTAACTTGTTGCTATCCAAGATGATCAACAGTTGAGTTTTTCGTGGTTAATACTAGAATTAACTAAGACTCTAAAGCTATTTGACTAATGACAATCGAAGTAAGGAATAAAAAAAGAAAGATATCAATGGGAGAAAATGGGGTTTTGATAGGATATGTGCAAGATGATTGTCAGGGGTTTAACTCTAATTAATTCACTTATATTGTCAAGTGAGGCTGTTGAATTCACTTAATTATTAGTTCAATTGGTTAGTAGAAACTCCTCTCTCGGTTAAGTATCAACTTCACGAGATGAACCAATTTAAGCTCAATGAAGATATGCAAGAATGCGTAGTGGATTGGTCTTTAGGAGAACCTCTCTCGATTATCCTCCTAACTAAGTTTAATCAATGATTCAACTAGCCTCTTTCGATTACTAAGAAAAATTAATGAACTCAACCAACAATGTAATGCATAGATATAACAAGTTATGCCTCTCTCGATTACATGAAAAAGTGAATATAGATGCAACAATTAAATCATCCAAAAATGCTTCAATACATAAAACTAGAGTTATAATCCACGCACAAATGTTAATACACCAAATCCATCAAACCCTAAAGGAAACTACTCCATAGACATGGAGTAATCCATCACAAATATAATTAAAAGATAGGAAAACATAAATTCAATCCAAACTCGGGTCTTGAGTGAGGAAGGAATGATTAAATCCTTGTGCTTTTTCTTCTCCAACTCTTGCTTAGCCTCATTAGGGCAGAAGTCTGTCAAAAAGTCCAGAAAATAATGTTTTCCCATGTATTTATACCAAGTAGGGTCGGGCCTAGATGAAACCACCTTCTCCGAGTCAAAATAGGACATTGGCACTGTAAAATTTACATAGGCGCGCCACATTGAGCGATGCGCCATGTGGGGCATTAGTGGGGAACTCCAAAGAGCTCAATAATTCACAGGCAGCCAAAAATACACTGCTGCAGTGCACCACGCGGTGCCCCACACGTTGTAGCAGTGCAATATTCCCACAGTGTTGCTTTTTGCTCGCTTTTTGATATCCATATTTGGTTCTCGACCCCCGAACGCGATCCTGGCTTCATCTTTTGGGCTTTTACTCAGAGTTCAAAGCTCAAAATAACTCGAATAAGCTCCATAACATCTACATCACTCGAGATTATTCCTACAAGGCATAAAACACACGATAAGTACAAAACACTAGCAATTAAAGCTCAAACACAATAAAAGTGTAGTGAATTAGAGTGCAATAAGTGACTAAACATGAGATTATAGCCTACCATCAGAGATCCTAGCACAGTTCTTGAGCATGTTTGGCACTTAACATACCGTTGCCGTCCATAACCCTAGAAAAATCTGCCTCCGAGAACCCTCTAATCTTCAAATATCTCGAATACCGAAATCTCCATATTTGATCCCAACTACACTAGTCAATGGCGGACACATTCCTCATACATGATCATTCCACGAGAAATACCTCCATAATTCATTTGTGCCACATTGCAATCTGAATATCAACAGTCGATCATCCTGGCTATTATTGTAATACCAATCAGCAGTCGATCATTCTGATGTGCTCACCCTTCTCAAGTGATATCAAATAATGTTGGCATATTTCTAGGCACTTAAGATCGCCTTTGCTATTAAGGACTCGTAACTCCACACAAGAGAAGAATCTTAACACGCAACATGTCCATTATGCTGATAGCATACATCCAACTCAAATAGTAGGCGACACTATCAAGGACTCTTCGAGACCCGTCCACACATAACTGAGCCATCATAACTTAATTTCTCCAACTTAACTAAGTCATGCAAGCCGTCAAACCCGAGACTACTACTACAACATGCAGGTGATGCATTATAACAAAAAAAGAACAAATTACTTTTAGTGTTATGTTGACCCAACACCACTGAGCTGACCCATTTATTCGAATCCTCCTCGACTTGTCTTCAGGTTGACACTTCCCCTTGTCGGTGCATAATGGTCCCAAACCAAATCCAATGCAGGAGATCCTAGCACGAACCACGTTGCCCGAAAACACAAGCCGTTGTATTTCCTTTCAAACACTCAATAATGACACAACTGAGATACATATTCAGAAGAGACCTTTTATGAATCTGAAGTTGTTTCTCTAACCTCTTTGATACTGAAATGTAGATTTTATAATGATACAGATATACCGCAAGTCCAATCACCATCCCCTGCAAATCTCACACCTTAGCATATACAATTTCTAGGAACCCTTCAATACCACATATATACCTCAGACCATAACTAATATAACACATGACCCAGCAATTTGATAGCCGATAGCAGACTCCCCCACTTGGCGCGAAGCCATAGGACATAACATCTGATAATCCAAAATACCAACCTTTATAGCTCGTATAACACCAATCATAAGAGACCTCAAATCATCAACTAAGAGAATGCCCATCCTCGTGACAGTAAAGCCCGCTTCCTCAAGTGCCTTTAATGACAATATGTACCTTTCTCTGAATAGAAGTCCCATGCAAAACTCATAGTCTCTAATACGACCAACTATCCTCAAATAAACATTCTCTCATGACCCTACCACGATCATGTCGACTAGGCAACCGATTAAATCTTCCCAAGCTCGTATTCACGAACCAGATAACAAAACACGTTGCACCCCACACGTGAACAATAAAAAGATCTATTAATAAATCTCTGTTATCAGTATGGACAACACATTGAGACAATGATCGAGCATCCATGATCCCCCTCGTAGCCTATCCACAGCACCACAAATTGTCGGTGTGTAGCTGATATCGAATGTGCAATATCGTATACGAGTGGATGCAAGGGAATGTAAGATATGTGCCTAAAAATGAATCAATACGCAAAATAAGGAATGAAAGAAAAAAAATTCTTAATATTTATGTAGCCTCTTGAAGATAAGTACAGACGTCTCCGTACAGATCTGCAAGACTCTACTAAACTTGCTTAAGACTCGTAGCACCTATGAATCTAGAGCTCTGATACGAACTTGTCATGACCCAAAATCCCACCTTAGAAATCGTGATGGCACCTAGTCTTTATGACTAAGTAAGCCTAACACATTAGGAGATCTAACAGAGATAACCAACGTAACTATATAAAACTTAAACTGATAAATGAAATAACCTAACTAAAACTGAACAAATGTTAAACAATCGCCACACCGGTGGTACATAGTCATAAGCTCTACTGACATACACTAGAATTTCTAAATACAATATTATTTTGAAAGGAAGATAAACAACAGTAAAGATAATATCCGAAGGTGACTCTGAGGCTTGCGAATGTCAAGTAGGTACACCTTGAAGTCTCCAGCCGCGCAGATGCAACTCTCAAAAACAACACGATCAGAAGTACTTGGATCTGCACAAAAATATGAAGAAGCATAGCATTAGCACACCAAAGCAGTACCCAGTAAGTATCAAGACTAACCTCAGAGGAGTAGTGACGAGGTAAGTCGAGATACTCAATAGACAAAACCTGTGCAAGATATTAACATAAAGCTACCAATGGAAAGAATCGATGTAATTCTAACAGCGTAAAGATTATTAATATAAAACCACAAAGGAATAATAGAAACACAATTGGAAACAAGACGTAAACGGTGTCATACCTCCTTTTTTACCCGATGAGATAGGGGAGTTTTTCCAATTTAAGTGACATTAATCGAAATGGAATTATTTATTTTATTCAGAGTCTCCACTTGGGATATTATCTGGTGTCCCAAGTTACCGGTTTATTTTAAATCCCAAATCGAGAAAAATTGACTCTGTTTTAAAGTCTGCGAAACCAGAAGACCGGGTAAGGAATTCTGTTAATCCGGGAGAAGGTGTTAAGCACTCCTGAATATCGTGGTTCTAGCACGGTCGCTTTAGTCATACCTGGCTTATTTAAATTGCTTAATTACGTATTTTAGAACCTGCGTACATTTTACCTTTTACCGCTTTTAAATTACTTGATTATTCATGATTATGAAATTATCTCGGAACGAGTCACGCGTACGTGTACTCTATTTTGTTTGGCGCGTCAAAAATCATGTCATGCGTACATGTACACAATTAACAACACTTTATTAATATTACGATTGTCGGGCCAAAGTCGCGCGAACGCGTACCTTGATTTATTTTTGAAATCATGATTATGACATGCAAACGTGTACATAATCACGATTACAACTTTAAAGATTTTATGAATTACTAACAAGATCAATTGTTTTGCTAAACTATTAAAGATACCTTCGACTAAATAAATTACTAACATTCTATCTTGAAATCATTCCACCTTTTGGGCCTATTAGTAGGAATTATGTTTGGCCCATTTTTTTACGAGGCAATAACAATCAAGGCCCAATCACGGTGATACGCTTCAACCAAGCTAACATTCCTTCTAACTCTTAATTTCCAGCTTTACAAATTAGTCACTAAGATAAAGGATTAAATTGAAACCCAAGGCAAAATAAACAGGAGAGCCCATTAGTTCGTTGAAGAAAACTCTTGTAAGTTAAAGTTCCCATATCATCACTTCACAAGACAAATTGCTTACTAAGGAAACTACTCAAAATAGATAAGAAACAATTGGATTATTAATGAGATTAAACATATGATTTGCTAAGAAAATTAAAGGAGTGAACTAAGAGGAAACGTACTCAAGAGCGTACTGTTCAAACACAGAAAACTAAGAAACAAAAGTCATCCATATCACACAAATAAAATCAATATAACAATGATCCAGAACATTAGCGAGAAGAACAAAATCGAAAAGGAAGATGAACCTTTGTATTAATGAGGCAAAACTAGAATCAGAATTTTGGCCAGAACAAATTGAATGACAACCGGATCTGAAGGCGACCCCGCCGGAACCTCGAAACTCGCCGTGTAAAGCTCGTTGGAAAATTAGACTCGAACCCGACCAAAATACTGTTGTTTTATGAGGAAAGGGGGCTGTTTTCGAGCTGTTTTTCAGCTGAATTTAGAGCTTCTTTGGGGCTGATTCGGCAGCTATTTTTGGGGTCGTTTTGGAAAAAAAGGGGACTGGTTTTGACAGTGTTTTTGGGGCTGTTTCTGGGTGGATTTCAGCTGCGTTTAAGCACTAATTTTTAGCTGTTTGGTGGCTGAAGAGGAAGGGCGATTTTGCTGCATTTTTTGAGGTATTTTGGAGCTGTGTTTCAACTGCATTTTCAGGGTGTTTGTGGTGATGTTTAGGTGGTGTTTTGGTGGTGAAAACGAGAGCTTCTAATGGAGGAGAACCGGCAGGGAGCTATTGCTGCCTTCAGTTAAATTTCACGAAGGAAAAGGGCTCCTTTCTTTTTTGTCCAGATCTATTTGGCGGTCCCCTGGGCGTTTGTTTTTGTGTGTGTTTATATAGCTAAGCCATTGAATTGGGAAGCAAGAAAGGTCTTATTAGATAAGGTTTAAAGAAAGATTATTCCCTCATGAATGAATCCAATGTGGCAGCTACTTTGTGGCAGTTATCTTTGTGTGTCATGTGAGAAGTTTGTTAATGAGATAACATGCAATCTTTTGCAAGTTAGCCAATTCTGATTTGCTCTCCTTTTTTTGTAGTATTTTGTTTATAACAAATAAATAAAAATAAAAACTACTCCTACTAAATCAAAAATAGCAAGATAAAATTACTATAGACTCGATCTTCATTTGTTGAAAGTATCTAATTTAAAAATTGCACTAAGCTAAATAAAACTTTTTTAAAAAAATTTTTCTTTCTTTGTAATATAAAAATAAAACTAATACTCTAAAAATATGTAACTCTTTTTTTTGTAATTTTTAATTTATCTAAAATAAACATATAAAAAGGTGAAATAAACTAAAATATTAAAATTAAACTTGAAATCTATTTAAATACTAAAAAGTGAGTGGAAAAATCAAACATGGTCAAAAATTAGGTGCTCACAAACGGGTAATGAAGCAGCAACATATTTAGAACGCAGATGAAATATGAATGAGCTCGATTAAGGAAACATATGACAATTTATGTAATCAAATCATTCACAACACATGACTTACAACAAGAACTACCCCGAGACACCACACCTCATAACAATAAATCATGAGCCACAATTCCAAATCTTACACGTATGGCACCTCGTACACACAATAATAATTAGCTTCGCACAGCAATGCTCACGTGCTACCATGTACATAGTATTCGTTTCAAATATCAATAAAAATATTCAAGAGATATATTTTAACACAATAAATCATAATAACAATCTTGAATAAAGTAAAGCGTCAAATGAGATAATGGGTTTATTTTAGAAATCAATTGAAGCAAAATAAAGTACAATTTATACAAAGCAGAATATCAAATGAGTTTAGTTTGGAAATCAATAGGGTAAAGTAAAATAACGTTTTTAAACTAAGTAAAACATCAGATAAGTTAACAAAATAAATATAGAATTTGCTTAAGTAAAGCGTGATTAAAATTTTAAGTAAAGTAAAACATCAAATAGGGTGATGAATTTAATTTGAGAACCCAATTAAAGTAAAGTCTGATAATCATTTATAATAGTAAAGCACCGAGTGAGATAACGAGTTCTATCTTAAGAGATACATAAAATAAAGCGTGTTAATAATACTTTTATTTAAAACTGTTATGTTACCAACAACTCAACAGAATATGAGATAATGACTCTACGCAAGTAAATTCATCTTGACAATCAATTCACCAAGTAACAACAGAGGCTCAAATTGCTACATTAAATCAACATAGCAAATCATATAGAATTCATGACTTACACAAGAAGTCAGAATTGTCCTGACACAAGAATAACAACAAATAACCAATTACAAACTAATACAAGTGAAATGATTTAAGAAAAAAACAATAACCATTCAATCAACGAGCCGTTCCAACATAGAATGTACAATAAGAATCACAACCGAGGTACCATACCTCGTAATCACATTTCACAAGTCACAATCTTCCATATATTGTCGCGTGAGCCTTGCGTTTATTTTCAATTTTTTTTTAAATAGCTATACGTGCTTTAGCCCCCTTATCTCACCGTGTGTCTTCAAGTAATTCCCTTACTAGCAACATGCGTATAAATCCCACCTTATCTCGTTGCATGCACATCAACTCCTATCCTTATACCGTGGCAAGTGCATCAATATCACAACACAATAATTAACTCGCATCACACGTGCCCTTATGCCACAACATTGCCAAAATCAAGAACACCAATGTTACCACAAAATAGCCCTCGGCTCAACCAAAATGTACACAAGAATCTCAAAAATAACAAAATGAATGAGAAACAACTCAACAAAGAAGGATGTCCCAATAAACAACACTTGAACCACAATGTGTTAATAACTATCACAACTACAAACTCAATAACTCCGACGATGGTATTCCCGTGAAATGTCAACTTCCAATTCAGGTACGTAACATAAGTTTAACAATGAAGGGAATAGCATGAAATAGCAACTACGACTAAATGCATGAGATTAACTGAACAACGGGGAGGATATCATGTAACAACAACTACAAATATATGCATATAAGAGTAACTTTGACAACTAAAACTAGAACATGTAATAACAACTGCAATTAAGGCATGTAAGAATAAAATTGGCAACGAAAGATAGAGCAAATAATAATAACTTCAATTAAGTGCTTACACATAACCTAAGAATCTAAACCAATCAAATATCATATATATGATCGTGTACATACTCGTCACCACGTGTACACGTCTTTCACATAATTCAAATAGAACAATCAACCCAAATCCTAAGGGGTAGTTTTCCCCACACGAAGTTGGGCAAGATATATACCTCAATTAGAACAATCAACAATCAAAATAACTTTTCCTTTAAAATTCACCTCCGCTCAACTGAAATCTAGCAAAAAATGACTTAATATTAATAAAAATGCAAGAGAAACCAATTCTGATTAGTAATGTTAAGATCTTTAAATAAATCTAAAAGTCAACCCCGGGTCCGCACCTCAGAACCCAACAAAACTCACAAATTCTGACGACACATTCGATTATGAGACCAATCATACTAATATCACTCAAATCCTACTCCGAATCGATGTTAAATATCCAATTATTCACTTTAAGAAAGTTGAGACAAAACCCCCAATTTCTATTTTAAAATTATCAATCAAATATCAAAATTGAAGATGGAATCATGGAATATAATCAAAACCGAGTGAAAAATACTTACCCTAATCTATGTGATGAAAATCCTCTCCAAAATCGCACAAATCCGAGCTCCCCAACTCAAAATGTAATAAAATGAGATCAAGGTCCGAAATAGAGCACTTTATAACACTGCTCTAGGTATACACTTTGCGAACGCGGAAGAAGCATCGCATTCGCGATGAACAAAATGCATTGACTAGACATAACACTACGCATTCGCGGAACATCACTCACGAACGCGATGAACAACTACGCCAGACTTTCGCGAACGCGGTCAGTACTTCGCGAACACGAAGAAGAACTCCTCTAGACTGCCCAACCCAGCTCAACACTACGCGAACACATAGAACTTCATGCAAACGTGAAGAAGACCAGACCCTTACACTACGCGATTGCGGACTCATCCTCACGATCGCGAAAAACAAATGGAGTATCAAATATCAACAGAAACCAGCAATGCCAAAATGGTCCAAACTTGTCTGAGACTCTCCCGAACCCCTCGAAACCTCGTCCGAAAGTGCCAAAAAGTCTCGAAACATAACACGAACCTACTAGAGGCATCAAATTACACATAACAACATCAAACCACGAATCACACCTCAGTTAAAATTTAATAAACATTCGAACTTTCAACTTTCAAAACTCATGTTGAACCATATCAAATCAACTTAGAATGACTTCAAAATTTTCACATAAGTTCCAAATGATATAAAACACCTATTCCAACTCCCAAAACAACAATCCGAACTTGATGTCATCAAAGTTGACTCCCGGTCAAACCTATGAACCTCCCAAATCTTTGAATTGCCAACTTCTGCGAAGAAGTGTCGTAATCTTCTAGAAACGTGCAAATGCAAATATGGGCACACGCCCAAGTCCACAACCACTATCCGGATATAACAAAACCATCAAAAATTCGATCCGAGATCAAATATGGAAGAAGTCAAACTTGGTCAACTCTTCCAACTTTATGCCTTTAAAATGAAATCACTCTTCCAAACCAATATTGAACAAGTCGAAAACCAAAACCAACGATACACGCAAGTCATAGTACACCATATTAAGTTATTCATGCCCTCGAACCACCAAACAAAATACAAATGCTCAAAATAACCGGCCAGGTAGTTACAATGGGTATTATAGAGTGCGCTTAGCTGGCGTAGGGCTCAAGAATCTGCTCGTGCTCCCATGAGGGCGCCTCCTCATAGAGTCCCAAGTCTAAAGATGTGAAGTCAAAGATGAAGCGTACCTCTTCGACTGGGACTCAGGAGAAGAGAGTGAGAAGATAATCAACAGGACCAGCCACAATGGTCATTGATGATGAAGAAGGGTTTAATGATGAAAATGCCCCTCTTCAAAGGAGAAAAAGGTATTCATCAGCTCAACTGGATGCTCTGCCAGGAGAGCTTCAAAATCCACAAGCCGAAAAAGTTCAGGCGCTCTGGGGGGGAAATGTTGATTCTCGTTTTCTGGTCCTTGTCAACATCTCCGTTCAGAGGAGCTCTGCCCCTGACCTTCCTCTGCAACCAAATTTTGAGGCAGCAACAACTGCTGCCGCTTCTACAGTAGTTGTTTCTTCTCCATCTACACCAACTGCTCCTTCTTCACTGGTACTAGCTGCTTCTTCTCCACCGCCCCAGGCCGAACAAATAGAGAGCCTGTCTTCCCTGAGGTCTCCCAATCACAGGAAACCGCAAAGTACTTATTCTGCACCCATTCAGGACCCTCACAGAAGAAGAAGTGCCATTATCTCGGTTTCTAGTGGGTTCCATATGCTTTCCAAGCCGGTGGAGCTTGCCAACTATCTGAAGCCTCTGGCCTAAGCGAAGGATTGGGAAAATATGGACTCTCTATCTGGGGAGTGCCTAATAAACAACAGCATGCATTGCTCGGGCATGTAGATCTCACTTCCTTCTATATTCTTTCAATTTATATTTTGAAGAAATAATTTTGGTTCTATCCCCTTTTTAGACCAACCTTCTTGCCTCTGAGGGCCTGCAAAGGTTGATCCTGGACAAGCAAGAACTTGCTTCAGAACGAGATAAAGTTTTGGCTGAAAGGAATTAGCTAGCCGAGCAACTCGCGATGCTAGAGGAAAAAATCACTCAAATGGATGAGCTTGAGGCCTGACTGTAGCAATCAAAACATGATAGGATGGCTCAAAGCCAAGAAGCCGCCCAACTACATGAAAACCATAAGGAAACAAATGTTAGGTGTGTTGAGCTTTATGATTCTATGACTGCTGCTACCAAGCGTTAGTCTGCCTTCACGGAACAAGGGAACAACTTGGAGGCTAT